GGAAACAGCCAAGTAAAACTCAGCTCGACTGGATAACCAGCCGGTGCCATTCCCACACCCCTCTGGCCTGGCTGCTTTCCCATCCCTGGCCCTGGAAGGTGTTTGCTTGATTTCCTACACTTCTTTAACCTGCTGTTCGTACATAACCTCCTACATCTCCCACGCTGCTCCGATGCAGACCGTGATGCTCACCACTTGCTCTGTTATTTGATAACGGGCCAAGCAAACACCAAGGCTCTGGTCCTTCTGCCTGCCAGGGATCACAGTAGGCAGCTCCCCTACAGCCTGCCTTTCTTCTAAACAATGATGATCTGACTATTAAATTGGAGGTAGGACATGAAAGTTTTCTGCTGACAGCATAGCAGAAGATTAAGAAAGATGGGACAAAAGTAGGAGAGGAACCAATGCAGCCAAAGCCCCAAGTTAAGCATGTTTGCATGAGCATTTAACAAGTAAGTTCCTAATGCCTTTTAAAAGGTTAGTTCATTAAAGACATGGACAGCAGCCTGGGATGAAGTAGAGCAGAAAAAGGGAAGTGGAGCAAGAACAGGAACCACTTTTAGAGCATGCTAACATCACTGTAAGAAAAACCATAGCATAGCAGATAGGAATTTCCAAATCCAGCCATTGAAGTTATTTCTGGAGTTTTAGTTTTCCTTGTAAAGAAAAGCCATATCCTTTGCCATCCCACTCCGCTTTCTATCACAGACGATCCCAGATTGAGGCCAACTGAACGCACCCCAGTGATTTGTACAGCCTCCTTGGTATTATTCTGTAGAAAGATGAAGGCTGAGAGGTTTATGAGGCAGGAACAATTATTTTTTAAACACGTCATTCTGTTGTGGCTCAAACACAGCACTACTATGAGACGGTACTGGCTGAAACGTAAGTCCATACCACCACGCATGGACAGAGTGGATGAAAGGTTCCTTGCAGATCTTAATGTTGTGAGTCCTGATTCTGTCCGTACTAGAAATGCTCTCTGTCTCACACTAGGAAGAGCAGGAGGTAGAATCTGCTCTGCCATTAGTTATCTTCTGCACCTTAATTCAGCATCTCATTGGTGTTCTTCTGAATTTATCCCTGTCCCCAGCAGGTGTTGCATGAAGAATTCAGGAGGATCTAAGCTTCCTAATCAGTGCTATTAAAAAACAAAACAAAACAAAACAAAAAAACTCTACCTATTACCTAGAACATTTGTTTATGTTTCATTGTAGGCTGTCCACAATAAAAATGATCTCCAAGTTCTGCATGCTATCCCATCTGCAACCAAGCAGAAGCTGATCTGAAGCATAGCAGAGATACTTTAATTAGTATTAGCTGTTTTATCCATGTCTATGTACCACGCTACTGTATGTTATTTCCAGATGGCAGGTTGCTTATTTTTTTTAAAACAACTGCCAAGTGTAAAGGACTATTTTGCAAAACTTTAGCTGCATTTAAAGGTTTCTTTTTTTATAAGGCATCTCTAATCTCACATCCCCCCTCTAATCACACAAACAGTTCTGACTAAAAAAGCACTGCACATTAGGAAGAAGCAGGAGGGAGTGGGCACACACAGCTGTGCATGCTGCCGCCAGGGAGTTTGTTTTCCATTCTTGTATTGATAGAGATGCTCTGACAATTGTCATGCCAGCTTCTTACAAATGCCATGTTTTGCCAACTGCCAAATTAAGTGATGAAGATTGTTTTTAAAGGACTATGTTTTAGTGTTTTTTTTTTTTTTTTTACTACTGCACCATATGGGGGAAGGTGACACATTTTCCATGGTCTTATTGATTGCTGGTACGTGGAGAAGGACTACTCTATCAGGAAGAGCACTTGTTACTGGAGTAGCCACTTGGCATTATTGCTCAACAGGTGGAAGTTTCAGCAAAACAATGGAAATAGCTGTAGTCTGTCCTTGCAAAGGGATATGATTTGCCTTTTTCAGTCTGCTTGAAAAAAACCCTGCTATCACGGACTTTCAGCCATCCCTAGCAATCTGAGTGCCATTTGCCATCGGCCTCACACTGGCAGCTCCAGGGATGAAATTTTATGATGTTATCACTGTCAGCCTAACCCTTGGTTTATAATCCCTTTGATATAAACCACACATGCTTCAGTAAAACCGACTTATCTTCGGTGCTTCAATAGCGTAAAAGGAGAAGAATAAAATGAAACTGGAATAGAATGCTATTTCCAAATTTAACAGCAGTAAGGAGACAATCACAGGGTACCAAGACCTATTTTAGGGTTCATTTTGACTTGCACATTATTTGATTAAAGAAGGAGTCTGTAATAAAAGGGAGTGCTTGGTCTTTCAAAGGAACATTCGGCTGTGGAAATACTTGTTGGGATAACCTTCAACCTTAAAAGCTGCTTCCTGGGAAGGAAATCAGAAGCAACAGCAGTCAGCAGAACCAGTGTTTGATGATTATCTTCAGGCACCTCCCTATAGGCAGCAGGGGAGTGCAATCTAGTTGCAAAGGGCAATCAGAGAAATCCTCCTCATACAAAAGACCTCTCTGCAGCACACTACTTTGCTTAACCTTCACATCCGTCTGGTGCCTCGCACCGGGACAGGACTGACCTTCAGAACTGGAAATCTGGGGCTGTCTGGCAGCTCCCCTGGCTCCTTTAGGCTGCCCTCCCCTTAGCAGGGGAACTCAGCTAGCTTTTTTTTTTTTTTTTTTTACCCTGTCTTTCTATGTTTATATGACCAGTGCTTTCAACCTAAGAGTTTCTTCCTTCAAACAATTGTACTCCCATTGTGAGTTGAGAACAGGTCTTTCATTAATTATTCACTGTTCTGAAAACATAAGAACTATCTCAGAGCAAATTTATGTTCCTTATCACGCTTCAAAACTAGGTATTAGAAAATGTATGTACCTCAGCAAAGAGCATACAGGAGCCACTAAAGAACCTAAAAACTGTTGATGCCATCAATACAACAGACGATGCCATCTACAACCATAATAAAAGCAAAGCAACTTTCTCCAAAATATATTCACATAAGATTTCAATTTGAATTTGAAATAAAGTGGTGTGATTAGAAATATAATGTATTCTAAGCCAAGTTCAGACATATGTGGACCACTGGCCAAGCCTGGAAACCCACCCTACCCCTAATAAAAGTATTTTCCAAAATAAACATAACAAACTATTTGAGGTAGTTCCACTACTGACACTATTAAGGATTGAGAAAGTGAGCAAACTAAACATGGGTGCCTCCAACCTCTTGCTCCTGCTCAGGGCCCAGGAGCGAACACGAGGAGTCCTAGTGGCTAAGACAGCAGCTCTCGAGTCACTGGGAGCTTGATCACCAGCCTCACCACAATTAGAATTTTACCAGTGAAATCATTCACTTTTAGGAAAAAAGCCTAGCATGCTCTCATTGCTTATTTGCATTCAGACCCCTACTTTAAGAGTATTCCAGAATTACAAATAGGGATATTTAAAGAATCTGACATTTGTCATGTAGAACTATGAGAATTATTCTGTATTAACTTCCCCATCATTTTTTATTCTTAGTTATATTTAACTCTTCTCCACCTACGGCTCCTACCTCCAAAAATAAAAAAATAGAGATATAGTGACAGCAGTGAACTCAAACTACCTATATCCTTCTGTTGCTTATCAGAAAACAAAATGATTTTTTAAATGCACACTTTACATTCCTCTCTTTTTTCTTCTTGTTTATCCCCTCAAATTATCATAATTGAGATCGCTAATTTAATGACTTGAAAAAGTTGTTATATAATTTTGTTTCCAGATTAAAAGGTAGATTATTTGAATTTGAGACAGAAGAGAACATATTCATTAATGAACATACCATGAGGTGCATTTTTCAAAACCTCTTAATACTTCTTTGATATTTTTTCCTAACAACATCCCTGACAAATCTTTCACTATAGCAAAAGAAGAGGCAGGCTATCTTTAAGCACTTTTGAAAATCCTAATCAGTGCTGCAGTCTCACTGTGGATCTTTGAAGGTATTTACCATGAAATAAGAACGCTAGGGCTCAGAACACCTTCAGTAAAATCATATTTCTTAATGCACTCTGGCATGTTTTAAAAATATTTATTCTTTTCCCATTTCGCTTTGCTTCTCCCTCTATGTTTGGGAAAATGAAACAAAGCCAACAGAACTATTACCTAAAATGGTCATTATAAGCATAATTTATCCTATTGTGGAGGCTTCTACATGCAGTTTTTGACAGAAAATGTAATCGCTGAAAACTAGCACTAGCCAAGAATTCGGTAAGAAGGAGTAAAAGCATAAGGAGAAAATGAATAATGGATATTGTTGGCTTTGCTTTTACAAAAATACTGTGAACTTTTGTAAATGTTTTTATTCTTAGCCATAATTTTACTTAGATTTAGTGTAACTAAACTTATTTTCCAACAATTTCCATTAAATGGGACAAAACCTTATATTACCTGCCAGTTTAGACACATGTTGGTGCTTGCATCTTTCCAAACATTTGCAAATATTGTACAACTTTCAAGTCTAACCTACTTTTCCTACCTTTTTTTTCCTAGAAATATTCTATGATCCCTTATGAATGTTGCAAAAGATAACACAAATCTCTAACTGCTGCATAAAGCGGCAAAAATTTACATCTTCAAGAATGTCGCTTAGACGTGCAGAGATTTTTTTCCCCTCCCAGTAGGCTGGACTTTGATGGGACAGACTTTAAAAGGAATTTTTAAGCTTCCCAAAACCTGCAGGAAAAATATATGCAAATTATAGATCTCCTGTGAACAGTTACCTGTTCTCCCACGGATCCAAACATACTGTAACAGGCTGGAAGATACTGTTGTGCTTGAAGAAGCAGTCCCAGAAGTACTCTGTTTCCCAAGTGGCAGAGTGTAGGAAATCCCTGAGTGGTACTACTTCTTTTTCCTGTCTCTGAAACAACCAAGCAAATAAGCCCGTAAATAAAACACACAGAACGTCAGTGGGTGGCAATCCCGATATGGTTGGGAACACACACAGTCGTTTACTGACTCAAAGCATATGATGGTACTGCTGCTAGGATGTAGCAGTTTCTTCTTTTGGTATCCTGAGGATCCAGACTATCCTCCATTCATATCTTCTAACGCAGCTGAACTCCTGAAGATACATAAGGAGAAAAGCTCATAGCACGTAAATTAAAAAATTCCAGTAATAAATTTCGGATTTTGAAGGACAACATAACAAAATTATATCCCTACTATGGAATTTGGGGGTGGGAGGGGGAGTTAGTTATGAAAACCACACGTTAGGAAACCATTCCCTATTAAATTCTGCGGAGGTTTAGCCTATGCCGCCCTCATAATTGCATTTATTCAGACTTAAAAGCAATCCTTTGAATTGAAGTAATAAATTTGCTAGCAGAATCTGGTAGCAAAATCTACTTTGGTTACAAAAAGATGAACAATATTCCTGCCCAAAGATCTGCTGACAGCCAGGAGTGGAAAAAAAAATATTCACGGCCTTGGAGAACGTGACATATTTCATTAACAGCCGCTGCTGTTCACAGAAGACTGCATGGAAACTACGGAAAACTGCATGGTCTTGGCTGCAGTATTCAAGGCTATTACATTATCAAAGATTCATTTCTTGAAAGTGTACTCCTCTATAGGCTAAAAGGAGCCTGAAGTTTTTCACGATATGGTCTATGTATGACAAGTGACTTAATAGTATTAGTATAGAAAAATAACCTGCTTTTTTTGGCTTTAACAAATCCAGCCTTTCTTGCTCATGACCACTCAGAATGTGACAAATCATTAGCTTTAGCCATTTCCACTGCTTTACTCAATATTTCCCCTCTGAACGCCTTCGTGTCTTTCACAGGTTAGCGACCTGCCTCCATCCAGCCCCCAGGGCCGGCCTCCATGCCTTTCTCCAGTGCTTCCACCGAGATGTGGAAGGGGCTCCAGACAGACGTGTGCACTGCCACCTCCGTCATGGCCTGCAGCTCCCTCCTGCCCCTCCATCCAGAGAGACGAGGGGCTGGAGAAGGCCAGGTGAGTCCCCCGCACCTTCCCCGGGGCACTGGCTGCAGTGCATCGGGTGAGCCTGCCCTTGCTGAAGGGAGAGTCAAGGAAACAGGAGTCGACTGTCATCTGAATATTTCTCTAAGCAGAGAGTAAAGTAAAAGTTTAGGATTGAAATAGCAAGCTTTTTCCTTTCAAAATCAAAACCAACACTACTTATTTTTCTTTAGAGGGCAGAGGGTAGAAGAGGAAAAAATTGTTTTCCTGCATTAAAATGTAAGTAGATGGGAGAGCTGTGATTTTTCTGCTGCAGTGGAAACACGGGGCTCTTGATCTGTTAAACCCTTGGCATTAGCATATTTCTGAGGTCAAGAAAGAGAAGGTTGACTGATTTGTTTCAGCTGTAATATCCTACTGGTGAAGCAAATGGTTTCCCCTCCTTTTTATACGTAAATTTATAAAAGTTTAGTTCCATTTTCTGCCTTAATGGCATTTGTTTATTACTAAGTTGTCTAGGTACCCGCTTGTGCAATAAAATGTTGATACATACAAGAACAACAGAACTACAAGTTATGACACATACAGTCTATGCTAGAATATATGTAGGATAGTTTTATGGGCCGCTGCTCTGGGATATATATTTTTACTCAGCATCTTTGATTATGCTGCCACCAGCAGCTTTCAAGAAATAAAAAGGCAAATGACAGGTGCTGTCAGTGACTCAAGCAAAAGCCGTGGAAATTCACTGAGCATGTAATATGGTAGATTTTAGCAAAGCTAAAAACCCACAGCAGCTTTGACTAACTTGATCTTTCAGAAAGCTATTTGAGGAAGAGAGCCACAAAATAATGAATTGGATGTAGCATTACATAAGTAAGACTTCCCTGGGGTCTTGTCTGCTGACTTATCTCATAAATTGTAATGATTTTCATATTAGATCAAAGAACAGCATAAAACAAAATATGGAAGAAAACAGCTATTCATTGCCCTCAAGTGTATAGCTTCTGTTTTAAGATGCTCACAAGCAGCACAACAGCAGGTATTTCTCTCTTTGTATAAATCATGACTTTGTGATCTTTCCTGCGACAGTGTGAACAAAGCCTGTCACCGAAAGCATGCATTTCATGGGTCCGTTTTAACTAACTTACCTCCCAAGTTCTGGATAGCCAGATAGAGCTGTTATTACTTTTTGTTTTTTGAAACAGAGAAAGGAAGGAAGGTCATCTCCAGGAGGAAAGCTATAGGAAAAAAATGTGCCTTGGGATTTGAAAGGAAAAACCAATCAGGAGAGTACACAGAGTGAAGAAGGGGCACGAATGCATCAAACTGCAGCAAGAATGATGTTTGCTGTCCTGCAGGTCTTGGACTGGGCCCCGTCAAAGCGCTGCAATGGGCATGCTCTTCCAGACTCATCAGGAAGCACAACCCAGCCTTGGCCTGGGGAGAAGTGCTGTGGAACGAGGATGCATTGAAATGATTTCTCCTCCCAGGGCCTAGGACCTCAGCGAGAAGCTACGGAAAGTAGGAAAAGAGTTACGATAGCAAACTTGAGAAGCAGTAGAACGATAGGACTTCTGGAGCACCAAGATCTATGGCTCATCAGACCTGGTGACCTCTCATTCCCTTTAGGGCTCTAGAAACAGGAATTTTGGAAAGTTAATTTATATACAAGGACAGTTATACCATTAACATACCATCAATTTCTCAGCAAAGATCAATCCTGCCGGAACTCCAGTATCGGTATATTGTTACGGTCAAAAATGGCAGCACTTACTTAACAATTTAACAGTCGTTACAGTAAGGATGAATGGAGATAGATCCTAGGCCTATTCTACAAACTCATCAAGCAGTGTAGAAAATAATATTCAAATCAGGTATATTTAAAAGGAATTTTTAAAAGTGCAAAAGTCTAGGGTTTTGATGCTATAATCAGATATTTACAATGACGCAGCAATTAGATTTCATTCCCACACAGAGCTACAGTGACATGGAGAGGAATTTTAGGAATTAGCTCCTGAAAGAAATCAGAAAATCTCTCCCAAACTCAAAGGCAAGCAAGTTTTTTTCCTTCTTCATGCATTATGAATGAATTAATTCTCCAAGATTTCTTAATACAGGAACACTTTATTACTACATCTCAGGAATAAAATCTCATGAAGCCTAAAATGAAAATGCCTATTACCAGAAATGGAAAAATAATTATTTGTATGAAAAATATGTGTTAAACTTGGCTTCATCTTCAGTTCATGAAATATTCATGAACAGATCTAGAGTCTTTAAATTTACTTATTTGGGCTTCTGTGACATTTACTCCCCCCAATGTGTTTTGCTTATTGATCATCACAGTGTTCAGTACTCTATATCTGCACGTGATCTTCATTGGTTAGCTGTGATTAATCACATAATCGGATTCATGTAATATCTCTTTCTTGGTCAGATGAATATAATTCCCTAAAACAGGAAATGTTCTTGATGTTGTCCCGAGGGCTTTGAAACACTCTGAGAGGTTTGGAGGATAAGTGGGTTATGAAATAATTTAAAATGCTAAAGTTTTTTTTTTTTTTCTGGCTCACTGAGGTCTCAACAGAGTCATAGTTCCCATCAGGCTAATGCAAGATTTATTGGCTGGTTACAGAATTCGAATTTAATTTTCTTTCTCCATGGTCATTTAAGTACACGCACCGAGATATAGAGGGTGGAAACCGACTCTTTTTCATTTCCTTTACTTGCACGTGTGCCAGATTTCTGGGAAGGGATCTTAGGACCTGTCCACTTGCTGTGGTAAAATAGATACTAACAATGTTAAAATGTGCTTTGCGCTATCCTTATGAGCTTAAAAATTCATTTTGGGTTAAATCCTTCCCTATTTAGCGATTTTCATAGACAGACTGAACGCCATGAAAGTTCCATAAATGCTCAGACGTAAGCAGGCTTTTTGGACTAAATCATCTTGACTGTAAGCATTTCTCAGAGGACAGCTTGATCATACAAATACCTGGGGAAAAGCCAGCCCACAAAGAAAACACCTCTTTAAAAGTATTTTTTGATTTTTCCTAATAGTCACCACATGTCTCTTACAATATTCATCTATTATTGCCCAAAGCTACTACCGACTACTATAAATAATAATATTAGAAAAAGTGCTGTTCCAAGTACTTGACTTATTTAAAGGTAATTTTACCCAGGATCCAATATTGCAGTCAACGTTCAGATACAGAACACTGTCTGATGAAACTAGATAAAAGCATATTCAAGTTATCCTCAAGGGTAAAGTGTGCATATGGGAAGAAAGAAAAGGAAAGAGTATAGCGTGCGATAAGTTTTTTTTTTCCTTTGTAGGCACTGAAGAATTAGATTTAGAATTTCTTTGAGAATGCTTAAGTTAAAATAGTACCCAAAATCTTTTAAAAAGTAGATTGCTTCCCATTAACACTGATAGCTTCCAGCTTTGATAAATTATTAGATAGCAGATCAATAGTCCATAGAATGAAAGGAGAGAAAAGGAATTCTTTTTATTAAGGATATAAATAACCCTTGAGAGCAGTATGCATTCTCAGTGAGTCTGAAGAATGAAAATCGTGTTAGGAGGAGAAGGCTATGATTCAATTCTACAGAAACATCTCCAGCAAATTTGTCATTTAACAACTTCATTATTCAGTTTGAAATCATCTCAGAAGATTTTTTTTTGTCTTTTTCTATTCTTTCTCTCCTACTGAAGCTGGTAGCATTATTCACTGTGAATTATACTCGTTGTACATGTAGCACTTTTATTCCCTGTTCATTACTTGCTGACTACCGAGCTCTCTGGCAGCCTTCCCACCACCGCCACAATGCAAAGCAGCGCTAAATGGGTGGTTAACGGCGGCAGGAGCTGGCTCCGCGACAGCAACAAGCCTGGCTCTCCCATTTCTGCGCTCTGCACGGCAGTGACCACCTCCGGGCACCTGCGAGCTCCTTCAGCTCAAAGGCTTCATGGCACTTCACATGACAGATTTCCTGAGGTCTATATCTTCAGTATTGCAAATTTCCTTTCATGGATCAGCTACGCTGGAAACCGAAGCCAGCTCATGTTGAAGTTAATGAGATTCTTAAGGATGTCATCATTGGATCCGTCCTGGGGGAGATTCACTTTGGATGACACTTTTGCCTTAAGCAGCATCTTCCCACAGACAAAGGGCTGCGTTTGCATTCGGTCTTACCTGGCTGTGCGACATTGGCCGACCGCTCCCTCTGCCCCTTTTTCTTGCGAGCCCTAGAATTAATGCATTTATGTTACATTTGCACAGTATTGTAACAGTTGTATTTTTTTAAACAAATACATTATATTGATCTAAGTCTGAAAAGGCTAAAGTCAATGCTACATGTAACAGGCAACTAAAAAATAATTCCTGACGTTCATTATACATAATTGTTTTATTAAGAAAGACAGGGCAACAAATAAAGACCATGAAGTTCATGCCATTTAAAAAAATGTCAGTTTGACATCGAGTAAAGCTTTCTTCCACTCCTTTTGAGTACCTGGTTCCTATATTTTCTTCTTTGAACTGGAAACTACTGACCAGTTTTAAGAAATGATAGAAAAGTCTTCATCAGGCAAGGTAACATCCTCAATAGGTCTCTATTTTACATTATTTAAGTGATAGCCTCTTGTTTACATAATTTAAGAGGTAACAACTTCTTCAGCTAAAGCAATCCAAACACTAGGACTTTGGGCTGGGAGATGAAAGTAAATTTTGGCATATGGGCATATTTGATCATAGGCATAAATTCTCCCCTTGGTTACCCAGAAATATCATTCCAGAAAGTTTGTATAGCTTGTCAGCTGCAGAAAAGGATATTTATGCCTTGAAACATCTTAAATTATTGTAGGAATTTGAAGGTTATAATTGGTAAATAGGTTAATTGAAAAGCAATCATGATCTTTAAGATGAAAGTAGACTGACAACCTTGTAATAGCAAGACATTGGCTTTTTTTTAATTCTGAGTCTAGACTTAAAGAGAGGACAGCACACATGAAAGTTTGGCCACAACTTTTGCTGTGTGACTTTTTTTTCCCCCCTTGTTTTGGAACTGACAATAATTTCACCAGAAACTAATGAGCGCTGTTGCTGATTTGTTGTTTGAAAGACAGGAAAATATTTCAGTCTTCTGGTGGAAACAGCTGACAGAGCTCGTCTGCCTTGCACGCCGTTCACCTTGCGCGTTGGGGACTGTCTGAACCTGGAACTTAAAGCTAAACAATAGGAAGCAAAGCATAAAGCAAGGCAAGGAATGCGAATCACAGAGCTGGCTGAAACTTGTAGAAATTGAAGGCCAGCGACGTGTTCTCAGAGGAGTCTATTAAGTCAAACGTGTGGGGGTTTTGGTTTTGGTTTTAACACATATCAGCTTAATTCAGCTGATTTCCACACAGCTTCGGCTGTGTGTAGTGTCACCAAGCTCTCATCTGGCTCTGCTTACTGAGATACTCTAACTTCGGTGCAGAGTGCTAAACCGCAAGCAAATCCGCGCAATGCAAAAAAACCCACTTTTCTCCTGTGACGTGACTCTTTCTGTTGCTTCCAGCTGAATTTAAAGCCACCAGTTTTAGCTATCTATCAAACGCAGTTCCAGAACTGATGAGCTTGTGTTTAAAAGGTGCTAGAGGCCGCTCCAGACAACAAAGATGGAATTATTTGTTGACTTTTTTCCCAAAAGTCAGCTAAAACAGAGACTTATGTGAAGAACAGGAAGGAAATGGACACTAAGATATGACCATCTCCTTATAAAATTTGCACTCCCATTCTTCGGTATGGGTTAAAGCCTGGTCTTCCCCCACCACCACCACAAATGTTGGGCAGTGGGAAGCTGTATTGTTTTGCATTCATTAGTTTCAGCCATGAGCTCCAGGGGACAGGGAACGTAAAATCCCCTCACTTCTGGAGAATCAAAGGCAGGTACCTTTGCAACACAGTTGAAAGTCAGGGTAGTATTCATTTGTATTTTTGAAAAGCATTAATCAAACCTGAAGTTGCTTTTTTATCACATCCCCCACCCCAGGAATTATTTACAAGATACATGAGAAACCAGAGATGTGTCAAAGCTTGGATGATTCTACTTAAAATGAGTTTCCACTAAAACAAAACCATGCAGTATCATCTATTATAATTATTCTTTCAGAGCTATCATTATGTTGATCATAGGTCCAAACAGCACAGAAAATAACGGTGTGGAAAATGAGGGGTCAAAGGTAATTTCTGAAAAACTTCGGTTTTTAAAAGATGTCAGACGTACCACTAAAATGAATGTTTATGGAAAGGCAAGAAAAAGCATATATTTCAGCTTTGACTTTGCAAACAAATTTCTATGATTATGAAATGAGTGCTTTGTGTCAGATCGCTTACAGTTAGCTGTTGGGGGCTTTGGGGTTTCTTCTGTTGCTTTTTTTTTCCCCTTGTGGTGATTGTTTCTAAGTGCATTTTGGAAAGTGAGCAGAGTATTAGGTTTTCAGAGGAGCCTAAATTGAGGATATCTGATTCAATAATCTGGAGATTTAGTCTCATCATGAAGACTTCCTAATTGTACTCTCCTCAGATAGACTAGAATTAATTCTTGCCATTCTTCCCCTGAAATGTATCTGGGCTGATACACTGATAATAATTTTCTTATCTCAGAAACAGATAGCTAAGTGAAAAGCCTGCAAAAATAAAGGGAAATGTTGAAGGTGATTATCATAATAAGAATATTAATTAGCCCCATTTCAGACACCAATTGTTGTCACATAAATCAGCAAGTAACTTACTAAGTGTTTTTATAAGCTTCTTGCATTTCTCTTGCTGTCATGACAAGCAAGAGGTGCCTGTTCTGCAAGAAAAATAAAAGTGAATTCTGTACTTGGAGAGAGAAATCTAGAGTTAGCAATAACCCATATAATCTCTTCTTTTTCTTTGCTCCTTCCAAAGCGTCTTGTATGTGTTCCCCTGAGTAATTCACAATTAAAGCAGTTAACAAAAGAAAAGAAGGCAGTTTCCATTCTTTCCTCTTTTCAATAACCAGAGGGAGATAGCAGACAGCAAGGCAATGTTTCTGGAGTCCATGCCAGGAACTGGGAGTCCAGCTGCACCTCTGGACTCCTAGTCTCTAAAGAGCAAAAGCAGAGGAAGTACCTTACGTCCTTTGGTCGTTTCTGAGAGGTTATTCTAGTCCTCAGTGCTCTTCTCTGCTTCCTCTTCTCTGAACACCTTCAAAGTGGCTCATTTTTATCTTGTTACGCCTAGAATATAGCGTTGTATCAAGATGCAGGCAACAATTTCTGGAATTTCAACAACCTGACACTTACTCCCACTCCTAGACTAGTCATCAAACGCGCAAACCTGCAGGGCCTCACCGGACATCATCCCAGCACAACGGTGTCTAACGCTACCTGCTGCTGGCGCTCGGTGTGTTTTCAGGAGACAGCTTAGACCTCTGCGAGTTTAGATCATACAAGCTAGCATATTTTCGTGGGGTGTATCAGGTGCTGATCCAACTCTGATAAGCTATGCCCACTTGTCACTCAGCCAAACACCCCAGCTGAATTTATGTAACAAACTACTGTAAGATCAAGCTTGTTATTATTAAAATCTTAATTGGCAGTTTCTGGCTATTTTTATTCCTCTAACAATGGTAACTTTTGTATTTTCCTGAGATTTTTTTTTTTTTTTAAACTGTGTAGATGTACATGTCTAGTTACTAGTTTGTGAATAAGGTACATTTGCTTATTACTTTCATGGCCAGGAATGCATACAGCGTATATAGAAGCTTTCTATGTGCACTTGCATGTTATTATAAAAGCATACCCTTATTTTTACGGCTCAGGTCTTTGGAATAACATTTTTCCTAGGGGCAGCAGCAGAGTGAGAAAGTTTTCTGGTTTCTAAGTATAGGCACAGCTTAAGAAATGCAGGAGCAAACTGTGCAAGCTTGTGCTGCTCACTAACCTCAATTCTAACCACAGACCTAATCAGGGAAGAGTTCTGTAAATCCAGAATATGTTTTCACTTCTATAAGGAGGTGTAAAACCAGATCTCCACCTAGGAGGACACATTGTAAAGGATGAAGACGGTTCTGGCTTCAATAACATATTGAATAATACAAAGTGCTACATGTCTCTGGATCTGTTTATATGTTGTATTCAGATACATGATTTATTCTCACAGCACTTTTCTTGGCCCAGGCATCAAGACAACCGACATTCATGTGGCCATGTTGGTATTACGCCAAAACTAAGCTAATTATTTATCTGCCTTGTCATTGTCTTAACAGAGTCATGTAGTATTTGCTCAGTTCAGCGTGTTGGTGCAGTGACCCTGAGTCAGCCCAGAATATGCTCTTCATCTTCCCGTAAGAGGAACTTAAAATATATAATTTTTACAGGTGTCAAGAACAAGCTTTACAAAACAAATCTGTATCCTATATTAATTATTTGGTGCATTTTTTTCTTAAATCATATTTTGAAAAATACCTGCCATGCTTCTCACACATCAGGTATTACTAGATTCTGGTTCTTGGATTTTTTACACTAAAATTTATTATGATAATGGGTTCATATTTTCTTACTATTATTTATAATCATCTGTGGCACTCAATAGTCAAAAAAAGAACACGATGTGCTATTTGTAATAAAGGAGAGGGGATCTTTAAGAGAATTGTTTCTAAGAGCGCAATCACAAGCTGTTACTCTAACAAGCGGCACACAGACAGGTTTCCTGTCTCTTTCCAACAATTCTTCATGTCAGCTGGAATTGTGTGTCCCACAGACTACCCTATTTATACGTCCTATTTATAACCGCATGAGAATGTCTGAATTATTAGATATGCAACATAAATCCCCTGGTGTGCTTTGTTTCTTCTTTTTCTGATTAAAAAAATGGTATCTCTTCAAAATATCATCATTTCGGGTCGCCCATCAAACATGCTTAGCAACTTATTTGGTTTCCAGAAATTATTCATAGTAACGGTTTTCATCATTTCTCATAATTTTTCCCAATACAGACAATAAAAGCTTTTTCATTTTTATTTTCTTTGGGCCTGGGGCTGTCTGTTTTCACCATGTGTTACGTACCATGCCCAAGGTAAAAGCATGAGAAGAATCCACATTTCTAAGGGAAAATCAGATCTTTCTTAAAAACAGAAAACGAAAAAATATAGAGTAAAATTTGCTGGGTGACATTTAGCTGTCGTTTAGCTAGTGATGAGCACCTATGCCTTCCTCCTCAAAGTTTCTCTCATCACATCTTCTTCTCTCTTTTCCTTTTATTCATGTGGCTATTATTGAGATTAATATATAAAGGGTAGACTAAATTTACCAGCGAAAAGCACCATTATTTAATAGCTACAGGGGTATGAATTCAATGTCAAAACAGAAGTAAG